TGCACTATTGGATGACTTAGTGCCAGTTTGGGAACAGATCATCCAGAAGAAAACTTATATATTGATTGCTAGAAGTTGTCAACAATTTAATGGCACATAATCAATTTACTGCTAATTCAGTGTGAATTTCCAAGAAATAATACAAAATATCTAATTAAACTGGAACAGTTAATTAATATTTATAATCTTACAGTGGTGAGGTATAAATGTAACACTATATGTCTGATTCAGTTTTATGTTGTATGTTTTTACCTCTGCATAATAAATTCTTGGTTTTTAAACTTCAGTGTCTAGCAAAAAAATAGTTCTCAATTTGTGCCAAGTTCAACCACAAATTAAAAATGACTTTGGAACAGAGATATTTGGATTGGAAAACAGTTTCTTGTGAATTAGGCTTTAGTTTATGTAGTACTTTAAAACATAAGACAATTGTTATAGTTGTTGCTATAATCAAAATAATTTAATGCTTTGATTGGATGAAAATGTGCACTGCCAACTAAATTTAGAAGCACAATCTCATATAACTGTGGCATGCTGTTGTGATTTGGCTTGAGATACTGTAAAGATATGCTCAGCTGCAGGATGCAACATGAAGCAGTGCTCAGCTGTGTTACTTGAAGCCAACAACTAAAATATGGCAAATCATTGTTTTTCAGTGAAGAGAAGAAATTTTACAAGTCTTATAGATCAGGGTCCACAACCTATGGTCTGTGGCACCTTTTGTATGGGGCGGCTGTCTGCAGCCACTAGCCAGGGTAGTTTGCATGGCCTGTTTGCACATGCACGAATGGGCCACTAGCTGCTGTGGGGGGTGCATGGCCATTTGTGCATGCACAGAGTGCCAGTGCATGCCGCATTCATGAATGGGGCTGCAAGTTCCGCACCAGTATATGTGGTCCTGTGTGCACACGTGCTCCCTTTCCCTCTCTCCCTCTTTTTCTCTCTCTCTCTCATTGTCTTTATCTTTCTCCCCCCCCTCCCTTGCATACATGATTAATAGTAAAGGTTAAAATATTTAGAAGAAATAATAATGCCTGGGCTATCTAGACACCATAAAAGCATCATGCATCTTGATTCAAGCACTGTTGTTGCCTTCAGGATACCCAAAAAACAACAATATATCCTTCCTTAGCCATGATAAGATTTTCTTCTTTTCATTGAGCGAAATTCTCCCCACAGGAGCTAAAATGGGACTTCAGAGAATGTATTGGAAACCATTTGAATTATTGTCTCTGTGTTTTATCATGTCCACATATACTGTATTATTAAGGGCCTGATGTTAACCTATTATTTAATGTTCTGGTTCAATAAGTGATTTCTGCAAAAAAAGGTTACTTCTTGATCCAGCCAACTGGCTTTAAAATAATTGACAAATACTTCTCAATGTAAACAACTTGGGAATAATTAGCTAAACTCTGAAGTCTTTAGCAAACTTAGATCATGTATGCTAATTCAAAATAAGACAGATAAAATCCATCAATGTAAGACAATATGCCATGCCTTTCCCAATGTTTTTTTTTTTAATGTTTGGTCATGCAGCCAGCCTGATGTTTAGATTGGATTTGGCATTTTTATCCACCCATCAGGTCTGTTCAAAGGACCTGAAGCAGGCATATGTTGTTGTCTGATGGCATTAAACTGTACTGTTGCAGGATATAGGCTGTTTTAAATGAATCAGACTTTTACAGTTGACTGATGGGGATTTTGTCAATGCTGTGATGGTGATTATTATTATTAATAATAAAACAGTTCAGTGCAATGCTAGATGCTGATTTAGTTTGATAGATTTCCAGTTTTCTAGAAGTGAGAAAATAAGTTCTCCCTCTAAAAAGTAGAAATTCTCCCTCTGCAGAAAAGTAGTATCTGATTCAGGTATTTAGGTTTCATTTTATAGGATCTAACATTCTGATGTACTTTGTTCTCTTCCATTGTCTGCTTTTCTTTTCCTTTAAGTATATATTTTAAATGCCAACTTTCTGGAAGCTATATTGAGAAACCACTCTTTGTTGCAGTGACATTCTGTCACCGTGACAGAAAGGCAACTACATTATGAAAATAGTGAAAAGACATAAAAATATGAAAAGAAAGTGCTGTGTATGTGTATAAAATGTGATATTTTTGCCATATCCTCAAAATTAATGAAACATACCTACATATTTTCTGCTATTATCTCTGATATTTCTGCACTTCTGGGGAAAAAAATGGCAAACTGAAGATGACTCCACTAAAAGTGGAGCAGATGACTGCAGTGAAATTAATAATCAGTTCATACAATGGCTATTTGTCCCAAAAGTGCTTTTCAAAAGGCAATTGAACTTTCTTGTTTTTTCCCTTGAAAGTGTTTCACTTCTCATCAAAGAAGCTTCTTCAGTTCTGACTGAATGGTGGGAATGGAAGGATTTATATTTTTTTCAGTTATCTGATTGTTAGCACTCTGAAGGTTGGCTGTTAGCTCAACCAAATGACATCAACAGCAAGGTGGCTGCAAAGAATAAAAACCCTTCTATTCCCCACCATTCAGTGAGAACTGAAGAAGCTTTTTTCATGAGAAATGAAAACGTTTTCAAGGAAAAAAAGCACCTTTTGAACAAGCATGACCTGGGCGATTGAGAAATTCTATAGACACTATTTGTTTATAATTTCTTTCTGGACAAGGAGAGGATTTGAGATTGCCCACAAGTACTCCAGACAATTGTGCCTTCTAAGGAGACCTCAAGGTAGTGGTCTCCAGTGGTTTAAAGATCTGGCATATGAGGAAATAGCTACCTTGATCAATATGTGGGCAGTACATTTAAAGACACTGGGTTCACATACTTCTTTTCCTACTCATTTTTTGGAAATTGATGTTAATTGCTTTTCAGATACTAGGAATCTTCAAATCATTATATATTTTACTCTTTTCTGGTTGGTAGAGACATTTGGATCACATGGGTTCCATCCAATGTACAGCAAGTAATCTTTTGATTATACAAAAAATGTTCTCTGTTTGCCTTTTCTGTTCTAGAACTTTCTAAGCCCACTATGGCCCCTTGGGAAGTCAAATTGTCATTTGGGAAAGAGCTGTACATAAATAATATTACAGAATCATAGAGTTGTGCAGTTGGAAAAGACAAGAATCATCAACAGAATGATGGAACTTAACCCATTTTAATGAGGTGATTGGCTGGCCAATGTTCTCTTTAAAAATTTCCAGAGATGGGGAATCCAAAATATAAACAAGGAAGGGGGAAAAAAATCTATGTTTTTGTGAGATGCACAGCTATATACATTTGGTTAATAAAATAAGTACATAAAATTTTTGGCTTGTTCATTGTCTACATTTATTTGATGTTTGCATATTCTGTTCCTGAAAAATGTCTGGGATGCTCAGTATAGCAATTTATTATAATATGCTTAGATTTCCATAGACCTAAGCTCATCTTCCCTCCAGAGGTGCTCTATTCAGTCAAAACAAATCCTTCTCTGGGAAAGCCATAGAAGGATTGACAAGCAAGGTTTGTCTTCTGGAAAACTGAGTGGGAAAAGTTCTAACCTCAGAGAAAATCTATAAGAGCATTAGAAGCTCCTGAAGCTTTGCACTGGGAAACTGATTTTGTAGCATCTACTCTAAGGTCAGTTAATTTTAGCCACCCCCATATTATATGCTGACAATGAATCAATTTTACAAGTTTGTAAATGTGCATGGAGGAATTAGTCAGCTCTTTTGAGCTGGCTACAATTTTGCTTCCTCAGCAAACTCCTCTGAAATTTGCAGCTCCAATCTTCCTTCTCTATTACAACAAAATAACAAAGGGATCAATCTATGACCCTCATGGAACCCTCTCCTACTGTGCAACCTGAGACTGCTCATTGAGTTAGTCCTGTTTTCCTCTTCCTGGTGTTGCTGCTTCTAATTCTGGTACAGATTCCCTGCTGCTCAAAATGCAGCATCTCCCAGGGTGGGCTATTGTTATGAGTTTGCTCTAATACAGCTAAATAATTGTATGGCCTTCTGCTTCCCAACTATGCTAGAGAAAGAGATCATAAAGCTTGGATCTTTATTTTTTTGTTTGGTTTGATCTGTGATTGCTATTTTTTAAAAAACCTGTAAGTCCATTGGGGGGGGGAGTATCTTTGCTGCCACCTGCTTTAACTTGGAGTTATGAAATAACTTGTTTAAGTTAACTAAAAAGAAGAAATAGTAGAATTCAGGATGATGGCTTAAAATAGAACTAAATCTGAAGTGGAAGCATATGTTCCTGTCTGTATTGATCCTCTTCCTCAACTTTGGTTGACTTTTTTCTCTTTAAGTGATTTTTTTTCCCCCCAAAGGAAAATACTGCTTCAGTTGCCTTCAGTTAGGACACAGTGAGAACAGATCTGGCTGTTTCTATGGTCCACAGTGGGACAGCCAATTAACAGTCCTGACTGGGATCAGAAATGCAACAAAAATAAAAGAGAAATAATAAGCACATACAAAGTGTGAACAGTGCTGTTTCAGCAAAGAGATGGTTCTTCAGTTTGAGAAGGTGAGTTACAGTACTGCACCTCAGACACTGAAGTGGTCTGACTTGATTTGGGTTTAGCAACACATGTGCAGAAGATTATTTAAGCATCAAGAGTAGAGTGTGTGCTATTCAGATCTGAAGCAGGCCAATGTGCTTTTTGATTTGACGTTTACACCTTTGTTGTATCTGTCAGTAGGTCTTTTTCCTGCAAGCCCAGGAAAACTTATAATTACATTAAAGAGCTGTTGGTTCCAAAGCATTTTTGTTCACCTTAACCAAACCCAGGAGATGGCTTCATCTGTTGCTTTCACGGGGAGCATTGCTTTGATCACTGAATCAAAATACCCCACAAAAGCTTCACACAGTGCCAAAGTGCTACACAAGTCATATTAGGGAGAGGAAACAAAGGCAATGAACACGATTTTTTTAAAGAACATTCTGGCAGTTCAAAGAGATTTCTCCTCTTTCAAAAGGCAGGAGAAAGAGTAAATTGCTAGAGAATATTAATCTGACCTGAAGAAGAATTGGCTGGGCTCAAATCATCACCAGTACGATTTTTTTGTAGCTATTTCATCATTGCCACATAATTCTAAATACTCTCCAAACAGTAGTGTTCCTTGAAGAGAAGAAAAGGAGGAGGAGGATAAGCTGAGTTTCTTATATTTAAAGAGGGCAGAGAATAAGGAGTAACAAATAATCTTATAACCTTAAAGAATAAATTGGGCCTCACTTTACAGTTCCACTTTCCAACTACTCCCAGAATGGTGGAAATACCAGCTAAAAGAAGCTCATGGCTATAGATGACATTTAAATTGCAAACAACAGGCTTCATTACCTCTGAATTTGCTCACTGCATTCCTAATATGGTTACTTTCCATGCTTTATTGTTTCCCCATTCCCACATAATGCATTTCTACTAGCATAGGCCAATGCATTTCCCCATTCTCCCAGTTGTCTTTTCCTCCAACTTCTTTAACTTTTTTTTTTAAGCAAGCAGCTATTCAATTCAACACATTCCTTCTGTGACATTTTTTTTTACTTTTTTTTTCCATAGCCCATCCTTGGGGCCTCAGTGTGCTTTCAGTTTATGGCCCTTAGGCTCTTGGTATCCAGGACTCTGTTGCTTGCTTGTTTCATTCAAGTACATGTCCATCAAGGTGATGTGCAGTTTAATTAACTTTCTCAAAATTAGGACTTATGAGACCTTCATTGGTTACAGGAATTTTCTTCATTGATCTTGGCCAGACCCCAAACCTGCTGACTTCTAATATATTTCACAGAGTGTATCAACTTGAGAGGATTTGTTGTTGTTTCAGCATGTAAAAGTGCAGTATTATGAAGTGCAGATAGTGTGACTTATGACCACAATAGTACCTGGAACTTCTGTCACTAATCAATGTGATTGTTAAACTGAGTTGCACCCAGCTTTATGAAGTTTTTGCCATGGTCATTAAATGAATCCAGAGTCCCCCATTGATTTTTCTCATCAGAAGCCCCCTGAGAAGGTCACAAATGGTAACATATGATCCTGGGATGCTGCAACCATCATAAATACATGATGGTTGCAAAGTTGGTTGCCCAAATTTTGATCACATGACCATGGGAATGCTGCAACAGTTGGAAGTGCAAGGGTCAGTCATATAAGTCACTTTTTTCAGTGCTGTCATAACTTCAGACTGTCACTAAACTAATAATCATAAGTCAAATATCATGGTTCCAATAGATGAGACCAGTAAAAGCAGAACTCCAAGGTGAGAGGTTTCCTTAAAGAACATATTTATTGGCTACAAAGTATGAGCACAGTCAAAAGTGAAACCAAGTCTGGAGTTCCCTCCCAAGCGTTACAATGTTACAAAGTTGAACTTCCCACCCCAGCCCTATGCCATTATCCATGTTCCCCAATACAATACTTTGGCGGACTTTCTAACAGAAAGCTCAGCCCTCCAAAAGTCAGGTAGCAATGACCTTGGTTCCCACAGTACAATTTATTATTTAGTCTAACCTTAAAACCACTCATCCCCCCCCTCCCAGTAGTATGGCAACTGAAAACAAAGCAAAAATGGCTTCAACCAAGATTGTTGCAGTGTTGACGGATCCCCTAGAGAGAGAATAAATCCTGCAGATGAAGAAAAGTTAGAATAGGAATCTCCCTGAGGCTTATGAGGGTGCTTATCAAAAAATCTACATATCAGTCTATCTGCCTTGATGTCAGTACTTTTCACTCAAGTAGCTTCTGATAGTGGGCATCCCTTCCACTGTACTAAATACTGTAATTTTCCCTTGTACAACCTAGAATCAAAAAATTGTTTTATTTCATACTGGGTCTCCCCCTCTACTAAAAGGGGACCAGGTGCTTTTGGGGGAACAAATCTTAAGGAGGACTCCCTGACAGGTTTTAGTAAACTGCAGTGGAAAACAGGGTGGACTTTTCCCAAGAGACGAGGAAGATTCCAAACTCTAACTTTTTTGGGGAGGGAACTCCAGACTTGGTTTCACTTTTGACTGTGCCAATACTTTGTAGCCAATAAATATGTTTTTAAGGAAACCTCTTACCTTAGAGTTCTGCTTTTACTGGTCTCATCTATCAGAACCATGACATCAAGGATTACCCGTACTGGGGATTCACAGACAGTCCTTGGGGGTTGTTTAATGTGTCTAACTCAGCTAAGAAAACCTTTAATAATTAATGAGGGAAAGAACTGCTTTGATGAGGTTTGGAAAAAGCTATTTATTTCCTTTAAACTAGCCCTAGCCTGGATCATTTGAAACCTACTACTGATCTCAACTGGAACTTCACCTTCTTAATTAGGTCGTATTCCTTCTCCCAATCTACCACTAACGTTTTAAGCTACACTTCTTTATGTCTGGTCTGCCTGTTTGTCTCTCTCTTTCCACCAAGATTGCTCTTCAAATAATAATAGGAAAGGGGTGCAGCACATGCAAACACAGAAGATCTTGGGCTTGCAAGATAGGTATGGCATGAAATAAGACACTAAGAATTTTGCCTTAGAAGAAGCTAGAGTTTCCAGGCATTTTTGGTTCAAGCATTAGGTATGTTTTCCACCTTGTTTATAAAAAATAGTAATGGTGAATAAAAAAAATATTTTAAAAATGGACAGGTCATCTCTAAATCACTCTTCTTAAAAAGGGCAGGCAACTGAAAGAGGGAGTATATATCCATCTGTCAAAGATGATTGAAATTATTCCCGCATCAGCAGAATGTTGCACTAGATGACCTATGGGTCCATGCCAACTCATACATTAAATTATTCTATTTTTTTTCATCAGTTGTGATTTTTATGATCTTACTTTTAGAATCAGCCTCTGCAATGAGTTTGAAAGCCCATTACTATTTATTGATTTAAAACATTTATATGGCTGTCCATCTTATACTACAGTCTGGCCTGCTCCCAATCAAAAATTAAAGCAATATCAATAATAAAACAACATAAACACTATATCAGAATTATTAAAACCATAAACATTAAAACCAAAAACGTGTACTAGCATTGACAAAGGTGGGACCAGCTACCAGTAGGTTCACTTATTATTGCCCACCAGCAAGATGATCTCATGGCTCTGTCATTATGATTCCATCTAAACATCAGTGCAATGGTGCCATTGGACTAGATTGTGGTATGCAACCTGTCCTTCTGTTAAAAGTAGAAATGGAACCCTGGCCTGGTAACCTATGTAAAACATGCCAAATTATGCTAAAACATACAGATGTTTAAGAGCAAAATATAGAATACTTCTGATTTTATTCTCTCAGTGATTCTTTTCTATGTAATACTTCTCTTTAAATTCTGGGCTAAAAATTCTACACAACTGTAACTTATATTCTTGTATATAATTGACATTTGGCAGGTTCATCAGGAGCAAATAGGAGGGAAGCTTCTCCTGGCAGCAGACAACCATTGCTTGTATGGAATTGATGTGCCCACTTATCAAACTGTAATGCCAGTTTTGCTCTTTTTTGAAATTGATTTATTCTTCCTCTTTAGAATGATTTCTAACAGCCATCTTTACCTTTAAGACATTTGGAATTTTGCCTCAATAAAAATCTATCTCAGTAGGAAAGCAAGAGATTCCCTTACACTCACACTTACACCCACTGTTAAATCTATACTATAATGTTTATTTATAGTTCTAACCTCCTTCTCTTTCCAATCTCCAGCTTTTATTTCTCCATTTGTGAAAATTTTCTCAGTGTTAACCAAATGAAAGGAAATTCTTCTTCCACATGTAACAAGCTCAAAATAGCAAGGAAAGAGAGGGACACTATTGCTATAAAAGTTACTTTGTCAGTTTTACATGTCCTACCAATAAAAGAGAATGTTCTACTAATCTGCATGAACATTCATTAGAATATAGGAAGCCAACTTCTGTGCATTTATGCTGATTGTCAACTTGCCAACATTGTGCAATTTGAAGGAAGAAGGGAAATGAAGAAAATATTTTGTTTCTTCTCTATTTATCTTTCATCCTGAGGTATATTCATGTTCCACAGATATTGACTTCATGGTAGAAGAGGACTTTTAAAAAATGGAGGAAATATGCATGAAGGGGTCCTTTTTAAATGAGATAATGGATGGTTGATATAATTTCTACTCTTTAAATTTCTAAGGGTATTCCTTGTTTCAGAAAAATCTCAACCAGGCAATTGCCAGAACTGAGTAATGAAACCAGAGTTTGACCTTTCATCTTTTTAGACAAAAGCAATTGTGCTCTGGCAGCAGGAAAATGAAGCATGACAAATTCAGATGAGGTTACTTCATCAATGGGAAAAAAAACAGTACGTGTTCATTATCCACATGCTTCACACCAGGAAAAATGTTGTCCTAAGTACTCATTGTCACAGCAAGACTAGTATATCAGCACACATGAACTGTTCCATTTCAACATTAAGTGATTATTACCATGAGTTGAGGCCTCTTCGGGCTAAGAAAAAGTAATTTATCTCAAGGACCCCATGCAACAAGCAGAAACCATCTGTGGAGAAGGAATAATTTTTGTTGTTCTTTTCTTTTTAATGTATTTGTTCTTTGTACATTCATCCATTCAGGTTAATTAATTAAATCAGTTTTAAAACAGAACAGAAGATTTCATCAAAGTAAAGGAGGACGGATTTGTGAAAAATAGGTAAAACACAGCAGTTCCTGCCTCCCATTCTGAATTATTCATGCTGAGGTATGCTCTCCACTAAGTTCAAGATTTATAGAACAAGAGAATTACAGAGCTGAAAGGGATTTTGGAGGTCTTTTAGTCCAACTCTATTCCATTTCAGATATGATATGGGGGCAGGACAAGATAGTGGATTTTTTTATGCCATCCTATAGAAACTGGTAAAGATAATCTTGATTCAATACTTCCCACACAATGAAAGAAGAGACAGAATACTGTACTTTTCATATAAATACCCAATTTATGTAATATAGGATATTCAACTTTTGCTCAAATCCTGTAAATATGTCTGTCTGTCTATCACATCTCTCTCTCATCTATCTATCTATCTATCTATCTATCTATCTATCTATCTATCTATCTATCTATCTATCTATCTATCCACAAAGTATGTATAAATATGTATGTTTATTCATGTACACATATATACAG